CCCCCCAGCCCTCAGGGCTGGCCCGGGATGCAGCAAGCCTCAGATGGTGGCTGCCCAGCTGCCCAGAGCCACCTGAAGCTCAGGTAACCAGGGCTGGCCTAGGCTTGTGCTGCCAGCAGTGGCAGCAGCAGAGGTGTGATGAGGCATCACCTTCCCTGATCACCTCCCACTCCTGAGGGTTCCCAGACTGTGAGGGGGCAGACCGGGCTGAGGGACCCCCCGTCTAGTGCATGAATTTTCATGCACCAGGCCTCTAGTATATTATAATGTCTGATGTATTATGGTCCTCATTTTGCAGAGAACTTGTGACCTGCCCAAGGTCACATGGCCACTGAGTGGACTGTACGCAGGCAGTCCAGTTCTAGAGCCAGGTCTTTAACCTCTAGGCTGTGGGGTCCCAGTTGGAGAATGAGGTACAATGGATAGCAGGGCGCCATAGTAAGAACCACATCTACTCACATGCCACTGCTGGCTCTGGTCTCTCTACTGGTCTGCGTCCCTCAGTGGGTCTGGAGGAGCTTGACAGAGGCCTCAACCTCCCCCATGCCCCCACCAGCAGAGGGCCGGGCGCACAGTAGGTGCTCACGTGACCTATCACCACCTGTGACGGAATGAGCAGGAAGCACAGCGGCAGGTGAGGCTGAGACCACGCCTGTGTGTGGGAGGAACCCAGCTGACACGGAGGATAGCTTCTGGTCAAGCTCCCTGAGCCTCAGTTTCCCGCCTGTATGCTGGGGCTCAGGGGGCTGCTGGGAGGTTCCAGGCGGACTGTGCCTCCCTGGCTTCTCCAGGTGCCTGGGAAAGACTGGGCTCCTGGCGGCCTCCCCTCAGTTCGGCCCCGGGCTTCCAGCTCAGCCAGGGACACCCTGCCTAGTCTATAATTCAATGCGGTCATAAAAGCGAAAGTGCTTTCTAAAGAAATTCTAAAGCTCTAGAGAACACTGGGTGCTGTTATTTGGTCTAGTTTTCTGGGATTGGTGAGCAGTCTGAATGGAATACCTATTAGACACCCCCTCTGCCCCTCCCCCTCCCCCTCCCGGCTGCATCCAGGGATGGATGGCAGCGGCTTCCTGGATTCGAGCTGTTCCAGCACAGGGGCCCCCTCCCTGGCTCCGCCGGCTCCTTTCTCCGGGCCATCTTTGGCTGAGTCCTGTCTTTCCCTAGAATACATGCGAGGAAAAGAGACTAATTCCCAGCATCTGGCTGAATTAAAATAATTACATCTGAGCGGCTTTGCCTCCGCTGTTCCAGCTCCCGATTCCGTGGGAGGATCAAAGGAAGAGGGTGGGGCGGAGAGATGGGTTCCCACCAGAGCGGAGCTTCCTGCTCCGTGAATGCGTTCTGCCTCTCCCGGGACGCGTGGGCGGCCGGGCCCGCAGAGGATGAGAGCGGACTCCGGCTGACCAGCGTGCTCACCGCACACTTCGGTGGGCTGCGGAAAAGCCTTGCTCATCGAGAATCAAAATACCAGGACAGCTCCAACAATTGGCGTTTGATTTTTAAAATAGCCAGGGATACTTGGTGTTGACAGGGATGAGCTTAAGCTCCTGAATCACCGTTTAGTGATGCTCAGCAGCAAAGCCAGTATTATCCCGTGTGACGGACCAAGATTGCATCGTCCTCACGAGAAGACCAGGGCTCTCCGTTTACAGTCTGTTTGATTCCCCCACACGCTGGACAGGGGTGCTGACCCCAGCTTACAGGCACAGAGAGGTTGACGTGGCCTGCCTAAGATCGCAGGGTTCTACCCAGAAGCCTCAGGGAGTCTTCCCCTCCCCCACAGCGAAGCCCTGGGCCTCCACGGTCCACGGGCTTTGTGGTGTTTGTGGGGGAGGGAGGAGGCAGGCAGCTCCTCGCTCTCACCTTCCAGGACCCTGGGTTCCCCCTGGGCCTGCGGGGCACCCAGGTCTTAATTCCAGGCCAGAGAGCGTGTCCTCGCTGCCTCCCTGTCAGGCCCCCGCACACACGGGCAAGCATGACTCACTCTCAGACCCGCTCATGTCCACGTTCATTCCATCTCAGCAGATAAGCTCGGCTCCGTCCTCGCCCTCCCAGAGTTTCCAATTTAGCGTGAGAGACAGAAATGCCAGCCAGCTGTCACAGAACAGCAGCACCCTCAACCCTGCGGCCCGCAGCCTCTTCTTATCACGGCTATTTATAGCACTCCGCGGCTCTGAAGGAAAGTCCATGGGCAGCACTCTGTAATGCCAGCATACCGTCCCTACAGGAGCGGGAAGGAGCCCTCGCAGCCACCGGGGGAATTTGGGTGGGTCCAGGCAAACAACAGCCCGTGCTAAGACCCTGGTCAGGGAGAGACTGTCAGAGAGGCCAGGGTGTGGGTGGGAGGTTGTGTGGGACCTGCCGCAGCCCCGAATCCTGAAAAAGTGAGAATTCTCCTCGTTTTAAGCCAGCCCTCAGGGAGCTGGGGCCTCCTGGTGGGAAGAGCCCTGGGAGGAAGGGAGAAGGATAAGAAAGAGGAAGAGGAAGTCAGGGGCCTGGGGCAGGTGTCCTGAGCCTCCAGAGTCTGCAGGTGGATGGTTAAGGAACGTGTGGGCTGGGCCAGCACAGCTGTGTGTTCTGCACGGTGAGTGACCAGCATTCCACCATCGCCCTTTTAAAGGTTCGTTTGTGACTTTTTTTTGGTCTTAGAAATCATTTCTCTAGTTCTTTCTTTCTTTTTTTTTTTTTTAAAGAAAGAAAACCAAACCAAACAAACATTTTCCCTGAAGCTAAAAAAATAACAAGTTCATTATGGACAAGTTGGAAGAGACAAAGAAGAGAAAATCACCGGAGATAATCAGGGCTGACATCTGACGATTGCCTTCAGGCTTCTTCCGGGTGCTCACGTACATGGCTTTTCCCTCATAATTAAGAGGATGTAGAAGCCAGTTCTCTTTGATTTGTCGTAGAATGTGGTGTCCAGATTGTCCCCCGTCATTAGATAATCTCGGAGAACATGCATTTGCTAGCTGCATATTATCCCCCTACTCTACGGATGGGTCCTCAGTCACTGACTCTCCTCTTAGGGGCAACAATATAATTAATACTGCAGCGAACATCCTCACAGCCGGATCTTTTCTCCCTTGAACTTGAATTGATGGATTTCAGTCCAAGTCCCAGACACACAGCTCAGTGAGCGGGAAGGAAGAGGGTCAATCTAGGTTTTCAGCCTCTGGATGATCTAATCAGCAGATGCGCAACGGATCGAACTGTTTGAGAAGTCGATCGGTTAAAGTGGCAGAGAGAAGCCAGCCTGGCCTCAGTGTGGTCATTACAGA